TTAAAATAAGAAACAACATGATTGGTGCGGTGATTGGTCGTGGTGGATCAAACATAAAAGGCATCCAGAGTATGACAAACACCAAAATACAGATCATAAAGGGCGATTCCGAAGCAGAGGTAAAAATTTTTGGCAGCAAGGAGATGAAAGAAAAGGCCAGAGCAGCTATAGAAGCTGTTAAAAGAGAAGGGAGCTACAATCCAGAGTCCACTGTTGATAATGCTGCATCCCAGCCCTCTGCTGGAAGAGCCTGGGGCACAGATACCATTGATAGAAAAGTTCGGCCATTCATAGACTGGGATCAAGTCAGGGCAGGAGCTGCAGACTGGGAAAAAAGGAAATGGGCAGATTTAGCACCAGTTCAAAAGAACTTTTATGTAGAATCCAAAGCAACAAGTTCTATGTCTCAAGTGCAGGCAGATATTTGGAGAAAGGACAATTTCAATATAACGTGTGATGACTTGAAAGATGGGGGAAAGCGTTCTATCCCCAACCCCACCTGTCAATTCGAAGACGCTTTCCAGAGTTATCCTGACTTGATGAAAAAACTTCAAAAGGCAGGATTTCAAAAGCCAACGCCAATTCAATCACAGGCATGGCCAATTATTCTACAAGGGATAGATCTTATAGGAGTCGCCCAAACTGGAACAGGCAAGACACTGTCATATTTATTGCCTGGGGTTATTCACATCGATTCTCAGCCCACACCCAGAGAACAGAGGGGTGGTCCTGGCATGCTAGTGCTTACACCCACTAGAGAACTGGCTCTCCAGGTAGAACAGGAGTGTTCCAAGTATTCATACAAATGCCTTAAAAGTATCTGCATATATGGTGGTGGAAACAGAAAACAACAAATAAAAGACATTGCAAAAGGCACAGACATCATCATTGCAACTCCTGGGCGACTGAATGACCTTCAAATGAGTAACGCTGTCAACCTAAGAAGCATAACCTACTTAGTCTTAGATGAAGCGGATAAAATGCTAGATATGGGATTTGAACTTCAGTTAATGAAGATCTTATCGGATGTGCGCCCAGACCGGCAGACTATCATGACAAGTGCAACTTGGCCAGATACCATTCGTCGACTTGCACAAACTTACCTGAAAGACCCTATGATTGTTTATGTTGGGACTCTGGATCTAGTTGCTGTAAATACAGTGAAGCAAAATGTAATTGTCACCACAGAAGAAGAGAAACAATCCCTCATCCAAGAATTCCTGCAGAACCTGTCGCCCACAGACAAAGCCATCGTGTTTGTCAGCAGAAAACTTGTTGCTGATGACTTATCCAGCAATTTAAGCATCCAAGGCCTACGTGTACAATCACTGCATGGAGACAGAGAACAGAGCGAACGTGAGCAAGCATTAGACGACTTTAAAAGTGGACAAGTGAAAATACTGATTTCTACCGATTTAGCATCCCGAGGTCTCAACGTTAATGATGTCACACACGTATACAATTACGATTTCCCACGGAATGTTGAAGAATATGTACACAGAGTGGGGCGTACTGGAAGAGCAGGGAAGACTGGCATATCCGTTACCCTTATGACTAAAAATGATTGGAAGACTGCCCCTGAATTGATTAAAATTCTGGAAAGATCAAATCAAAGTGTCCCAGAAGCTCTTGTAACAATGGCCCAACAATACAAGTCCAATAAACAAAAAAAGAATGCAGGAAAAAAATCAAAACTATTTCAACAAAAACCCAAGGAGTTTCATTGAGAGCTACAGTGAAAAGAAGTTTTGCCAGACTACCGGAAGACTCAAAATATGTTAAAGAAATGCAGTGTTCAAGATACATAAGAAAGCACTGGAAACGTACTGGCAGTTTGAAGACAACCAATTCTTAAATACCACTAAGCTTTCAATATTGTGCAAGCTCCTTAATAAACTCAAGTGTTTTGAAAATGAGAGAGTGTGAGATTATGTGGCGGGAAAATAGATATCATGTGTTGGTTAAAGTTTAGATTCTATTCTAGCCTGCCATATCCATCTGTGTCTTCTCTAACAGTAGATAACAATGGTGCTTCTCTTGCTTTAAAATAGTTGTACTGAATTGAAACATAGTTTTTATCAAGCTTATCCCAGTTAAAATATTCCATTTTCACCCAGTGGTCGGTGCCACAAGAATCCCTAAAAATATCTCTACTATAACTCCCTAATTATTTTAATTCATAATAAAATAACTGCTAAATCTTCTAGCAGATTCCAAAATTCTATTTTTTCTCCAATACATGTGACTAACAGAGCAGAATGTCTGACAGAGAGATTCAGATTCTCATACAAATTCTGTTACTAGCCATTGGTTAAAAATTCGGGGGAGGTCACTTGCCTTCGGAGGTCTCAATTTCTTCACTAGTAAATTTGAATGGTTATATTAAGTAATTTTGGGGTCCCTTTCATCTCTAAATTCTATGATATTAAAACCAAAATCACGTACCCCAGCCTTATATTAACACTTTATTTTCTAACCTAGGGAAAAAGCACATCCTTATGTAACAAATTGAACAATGAGCTCCTTTTTATTTATTTTTTAATTTTTTTTATTTTATTTTTTAAATATATCTTTATTGATCTCAGAGAGAGGAAAGGAGAGGGAGAGACAGAAACATCAATGATGAGAGAGTCATTGATCAAGTCCGCAACCCGGGCATGTGCCCTGACCGGGAATCGAACCCCGATTGCCTGGATCCTAGGTCGACGCTCAACCGCTGAGCCACGCCCGGCCAGGCAATGAGCTCCTTTTTAATAACCAGAATGGTGCATTCGGCTTTTTATTGATTTTTGTGATGTGACTCGCTGGTTATCTATTTTCTTTTCATCAGATTTTATTTTTCAATTTGTCCTGAAAAGGTCAAAACCACATATATATTTCAGGGGGAAGCTGTGAAAGAAAAATATATCTTATATACTAGGAAACACTGTAAAACAATCAAATGACATTTTGGCCATGGGAACCAATTTTGGTAAAACGCCTAACTTATAATTATCTTTTGTTTTCTTTAGACACAATACGCATCTTCTCACATTGCAAGATGAAATCCTCACAATGATACTAAATTTTAAAATTCATTGTTTTCTGAGAACATTAGAATTAGTCAAGCCTTAAAATTTTCTGGCAAAAAATAAAATAAAATAACACAACAATCTTTTTCCCCAGCATTCCTCAGCTGTGACCAGAACAACTAAATCAGAAATTAAGTGAAATAGAGTTAAACATTCTAAGTATACGTGTTTGAGGTTTAAAGTCTGGCTTTAAAGGTTCTTTATATAAGCCTCAATATCTCTTGATAAAATTAATAACAACGGTTAACATTTTTGAGTGTCTGATATATACCAGGTGCTTAATCTTATAACTTATAATCTTTATCAAAAACCAACTCAGAAGGTAATCTTATCCCCATTTTGCAGAGGATGAAACAAGGTCAGAAGAACTAACATGCCCTATGGTGCAAGACAATATGCTTGTCTTGAGGTTGTCCACATGTTAGGATTTAGTGAAATAGGAGGTATGTGCAAATTTACTCCAAAGCAAAGCAGCCTATAGCCAAACCTCTGTCAAATGTGCAAATAAATGGCCTGTTACTGTTCACTCAGAGGAGATATGATGAATGTTTAGCAAGTTGGAATATGTTATTTGCTAGAATTCCTCCTAGGGGCAATCCTATATTTGTTAGAGAAAAATGTAACAATTAAACCACTTGAGATAGTGAGGTTCCTCAATCATGTTCAAGAAACAACAACAACAAAAATTATCACCCGCCCGGCCAGGCGTGGCTCAGCAGTTGTGCATCGACCTAGGACCCAGGAGATCGGGGTTCGATTCCTGGTCAGGGCACATGCCCGGGTTGCGGGCTCCATCCCCAGTCGGGGGCATGCAGGAGGCAGCCGATCAATGACTCTCTCATCATTGATGTTTCTATCTCTCTCTCTCCCTCTCCCTTCCTTTCTCTGAAATCAATAAAGATATATTTTTTTTAAAAATTATCACCCAATGTCTATGGGTAAGAAAAGGTGAGAAACATACATTTCTTCTAACAGAAAAAAACCACTATATGGGGACATGTAAGTAGAGGTACAACAATGGTTCTAACCCAAGGGTACTTTTTGCCTCCCCTCAGATTCTAGCAATAGGTGGAGACAGTATTGGTTTGTTCAACTACGGGGGGTGGAGGTGGTATGGCAAGGTGCTACTGGCACCTACTAGGTAGAGATCAAGGGTGCTGCTAAACAGACAGCCCCACACAACAAAGAATGATTTGGCCCAAAACATCAACAGGGCTGAGATGGAGAATCCATGAGAGAACAGAAGCAAACAAAACTAAGTGCATTTACTACGAAAGGACTTCTGAGAAAAGAAACAGGATTTTAAAATGATGTCTTATGGGATATGCAGAATAAAATCCTATAACTTTCCTGTCCTTGGTTAGTGTATATCAGTGGTTCTCCACCAGGGCCAGTTTTACCAGTGTCTAGAGACAGATTTGGTTGTCACAACTCGGGGGATGGGTGTTGGCATATCCTGCGAAGAGTCCAGTGGTGCCATTAAACACCCCAGGATGCAGAGGACAACCCCTCAAAACAAAGAATTCTGTGGCCCAGAAGTCAGTAGACCCACAGTTGAGAAACCTTGCAATAGATGAAGCAAAACACGCCCGCCCCCAAATTCAATTGCAGAGAAACCAAGAAGGAAGTTCGGCAATGAAAACAAAAAAGAAGATATTTATTTCTTATGCACTGTTCTACATAAAACCCTCCACCAAACTTCCTATCTTTGTTACACTCTATAGCAATGAGTTCCTGAGATAATTTTACCTCCTACGGGACATTTGGCAATATCTATAGTATTTTTGGTTGTCTTCCTGAGGCAGCAGGATTGCTCCTGGCATCCAGTAGTGGGTTTAGGTCAGGGATAAACATCTTATAATGCACAAGACAGCACCCGACAAGAATGGATTTTTCAGCCTAAACTGTCTATGGAATTGAGGTCAAGAAACTGTGGTTTACATTGATCAACAAAGCTTTTGTAAGTGAATTACTTTTCAGAAACTCAAACAAATACGGAGTTCTCCAGCCAAGTTGGAACAGTGTGGCAACAGAGCACTGAACATGCTTTGACACAAGAGACAAAGGTATGAGAATTTGGCTGACCTCAGAGTTATTCCTATAAAATGCTTAGCATGGTGATTCACATTCAGTAGATACTCAACAAATATTAGATCTCTTCCGCCCTGCCTCCCATCACCCATTATTTAATGCTTGGTCACAATTCTGGAGGCTGTTACATTGTTTCCCCCACTTGGAATGCCCTTTACCCTTCCTCTCTGGTCAAACCAAACCCATCATTCTAGGTACATCCAACATGTCCCATCTTCCATAAGATCCTATCTGCTCTCCTCCATTTCAAAACTTCTATAGCTCTCATCACCTACCAATAATATTGACATCTGTACTTATCTCCTAGATAATTTTTGAAAAATTCAAATTGACTGAGAAATTGCACTATCAAATATTTAAATACATTATAAAACTATAGCAGTTAAAACAGTTTTACCCTATATGATTGACAAATCATAAGACAACTCTCCAGTACTAAATCTGCCTAAGAACCTGTATACAATAAAATTATAATTGTTTAATGTTTTTTTTATTGATTTCAGAGAGAGGAAGGGGGAAAGAGAGAAAGAAACATCAATAGTGAGAGAGAATCATCAATCGGCTGCCTCCTACATGCCCCCCACTAGGGATGGAGCCTACAACCTGGGCATTTGCCCTGACTGGAAATTGAACAGTGACCACTAGGTTCATGGGTCGACACTCAACCACTGAGCCACACCAGTTGTTAGATTAGAATTTTTAAATCAATGAAGGAAAGTCTATTCCAAACAAGTTTAAAAATTTAAAAATACATAATACATACACACATACCAGGACAACTGATTGACCATAAAACTCCTATTTGAAAAGAAAAGAACTGCCCAGCCTGCATGGCTCAGTGATTGAGCACCAACCAAGGAACCAAGAGGTCACCGGTTCAATTCCCGCCAGGGTTTTGGGGTGGATCCCCAGTGGGGGACCTGCAGGAGGCAGTTAATCAATCTCTCATCGGTTTCTATCTCTCTCTCCCCTCCCTTCCTTCCTCTCTAAAAATAAAATAAAATGACAGAACTACAATCATTGATTAATGCAATCACTTTTCAGAAATCCCTTTAAAAGATCAGTCTAAACATTATAGTCGAATATCGCTTCAGTTGAGCATTTATTAAACTATGAGCCACAACAATAAGAGAAAAGTAAAACACAATATGAAGAAAGTCTGCAATAAAGCCTTATATTCTTGGTTGGGGGAAGAGATGAGAATATTTGGGGGAATGCAAGATAAGCAAAAGAAGCTACCAGTGTAACAAGTCATAAATTCAGTAACCAATTTATAGCCTTTAATCTCCAGATTTCTGGGAATAAACTTATGAAATGACACCGCAGTATTTGGGGTGGCAGACACTGGTAGTTTACCCACAAAACAGCCACCCTCACTACCTCTCTCCTATGCCCCTATTTGCTGGCATAACTCACTTCCCATTATTAGGTTAAAAAACCAGAAATTCACTTTCCTAGCTTCCCTTGCAGCTAATGGGCATGTGACTAATACATGGCCTATGGGACAGAAAATTCTGCCTGAAAACTTTTTTTTAAATATATCTTTATTGATTTCAGAGAGAGGAAGGGAGAGGGAGAGAGAGGGACAGAAACATCAATGATGAGAGTCATTGATCGGCTGCCTCCTGCACGCCGCCCCCTGTTAGGGATCAAGCCCACAACCCGGGCATGTGCCCTGACCGGGAATCGAACTGTGATCCCCTGGATCCTAGGTTGAT